TTATTATTCCCTCCCCTCATCTGTACCACGAATTTCATCAAGGCAGGGTCTAGTGTTACTCATTTCTGAATCCCCAGATGTGTCAAAATACCAAGAATTTAATAAACTCCCCTTAAGAATTTAAGAAATGCATGACTAATAAAGAGTTATTTACATCCTAATGATGAGTAGGTAATTTTAAGTCATTATTATTAGCATATATAGTTGGTAACAGTAACAGTAGTTTTCCAAAGAATTGTTGGTTTATTTCCTTCTAATTTTTTCCCCTAAAGCCTATAACAATGTCTGGCAGAAAATAGGTACTTAATACATTTGTTAATGTTAACTGACTTTAAAATTTAAAGCTCTATGAACTTCTGTTGACCTTTTTCTAGTGAATTCTTTACTAGTGAATAAAGCATTCTTCATAGTGAATGAAACAGTGATATAGGATGTTGCAAAACATCCCCAGATTGGTCAGTTTTGCTACCATTCATTTAAAAGATTCTGTGCTCTAAATACTGGCAGTGATACATACTTAAGTATTTAATTATTTACTTATAGTAAAGAGTTTCATCTGGGGAAAAAATGCATTGCTCAGCACTTCACCACAGGAAAGTGCCAAATATAACATAGTAAGGTAGCTTTCCCAGTGAGGCCTTAGGAATTAGGACTGGTTTGAATCCAGAGGGCAAGTACCGTATTAATACCCAAATCTCCTTCCTGTTACCATCGGTATGACTTAATAGTATTGCAATACTTCCTGCAAACTTACTTCCCAAGGCAACCCAAAAAGGGAAAAATCTTATAAACTTTATTGTCATAGTAGGGTAGTGTTTCAGTAACTTATCCCTTGTCCTTGGGATTTCCTAGGCTCCAGCAATATTGTTAGCAGTTGCCATATTCTATGGCAGCCTATTTTTACAAATTATCTCAGTTAATCCTCATAACAATGTGAAATCAATGCAGTTTCTTTATTTTTTACATGCGAAGTATTGTGTTGTTGGAAAAGTTATGATGCATTTTTGTGTAGAAAAACACGTCACAACTTGGCTGACAACCCAGTAAATGAAACTTGAAGTTACACACCTGACATCACCACCAAATGAGCAGAGGAATGCAGATTCAAAGTCCCTTCTGTTTGACTTCAGAGATCTAATCTTTAATCAGTACTTTTCTTTTTTTTTTTTTTTTTTTTTTTTTTTGAGAGGTTTTTGCTATAGGGTGCGTACGCTCGCCAGAAAGACAGAGAGAGACAGAGACAGAAAGCAAGAAATCACTCCCCCAGGGGGGGATGGCCACGCCGCAATCCCTTCTCTATTCTTTCGGGATCTTGGGCATGCACACACATGCGCCTAGCGTGAGTTTAAGCTACTGAGTCCAGGACTTGAACCACAGTTGACTACATGGGAGTCCAGCGACATAGCCATTACGCCAACTGCTGGTCCCATCAGTACTTATTGGTTAATTTGACAAAAAGAAATCTCAGGATAGCACTGATTGATCTAAGGTAAAATGCTGACATCTTTCTTAGTGTTAGGGAAATTGTAATTTTGTTTCTGATAGAAGATTTTAGAGTATTAAAGACTCACAGGCAAAGTGACATTTCTTAGATCAGACTGTATAACTGCAGAGCTAAGACTACACTCATTCATTCATCCTTAAGTTTTGATTCATTTGTTATTCATCAGAACTCTGTTTTATTTGATCACTAGTACCTTAGGAGCTCAGGACATATTTGGCAAATGAGTAAATTAATTAATCGGTTGAGGCTGACAATGCACCCAGTGGAAAAACACATCTTTATACTCAAGAAGCTGACCACATAGCAGGGGAAAACTTGTACAAACACTATCATGACTATGTGGCTGACTGCCCTAAGGGATGATTCTGGATGTTCAGAAAGGGATGACTCCAGGTTGAGCAATGGCACTAAGCTGAGAATGTCTGTAGGGAACTGCAAGCTGATTGGTGCGGCTGGCAGTAAGAGTGAAGGGAGCTCAATTTGGGGTACCTTATATGCACAAGAGAGGGTTCAGATTATATTCTAGAAAGAGAATATATAACATATAATGTGTATATAACATAGATATATATCATGCATATATTTAACACACACATGTGTATATATTTTTCCTTCTTTGTTAAACTTGCCTGGGTTAAGAGATGTTCAGGTAGCTAGTAAGACATTTCTGAATGTTTCTGGAAGAGATTAACATTGGAATCAGTAGACTAATTTATGAGTGAAGGAAATTGCTCTCATAGGTGTCATCCATCCAATGGGCCCAAACTGAATGGAAAGATGGAGGAAGGGTGAGCCAGCTCTGTCTAGTGGAGCTGGGACATTCATTTGTGGTCAAATCTCCTTTTAAAATGTTCCCTGGACTGTTTGTATGGCGAACTGATAATTCAAGCAATTGGGATTTGCAAGATGATGTTTAAGAAATGATGATGGTTTGGACTATGGTCACTGAAATAGGATTGGCAAGAAAAAGAAAGATACAAGAAATATTTTTGAAGAGGTCCAGAGCTAAAGATTTGAGAATGATTAGCTTATAGGTGGCTGTCGATACCCTGAAAATGCTGTAGAGATTTCAGAGGAGTGTTTGGAAAATTGAGGGTGAGGAAGTTCAGGAAACAAGAATGGGGAGTTGCCCACATGTGATATTAAGAAGAAATGGTCATAGAAAGTGTCCTTACTTATAAACCAAGGAATAGATGTTAAATAAGGAAAAATGCTGTGGCTTGTGGCAGTGGAGACAAGATGTGACCACCAATCTTTTGAGATTTCTAGATGACAAAATGGGTGAATGTTGAATGATAGCTCAAGGGGAAACTGGAGGCTCACACGGGTTTTGTTTTGTTTTAATAAATGATAAACCAGCCCATGGCCGAGTGTTTAAGGTAGTTGAATCCCACATGGCTTACCTGCAGTTTGAGTCCCAAACCCTGTGGCTTGAGAAACACTCCAGGCATATGGAGAAAAACAGGATTTCAGCTTGAACATCCCCTGTGAGGGCTCGCTCTCTCTCTGTCTCTCTCTCTAGGCAAGCACACTTTGTGTCTGGCAAATTTTTTAAAAAGAAGGGAGAGACTGTGGCAAGTTCAGAGGCTGAAACAATAAAAATCACAAAGTTTGTGACAGAAAGACATAGGTCCTCTAACTCCTGTGCAAAGTTCGTTATTCACATTATCAGCTTCTAGTATCCCAAAGTAGTTTTATATATTTTTAAAAGAATTATTTCTTTTCATTTTACTTATTTATTATTATTCTTCAATTTGATGGGAGAGAGAGAGAGCAAGAGAGAGAGAGAGAACGCAAGCCCCCAGGTCTGAGACTCAAACTGTGGTCAGCCATGTGGGAATCTAGTGCCGTAACCACCACACCAGCATGGACCCAGTAGTTTTATATTTAAGTCTTCGGGGATACATCAGAGCAGCTCTGACTGCCTAATTAATGTGTTTACGTTTCTTACCATATCAGAAGTCCTTTTTAAGCTTCAATGAGTTCTCACAAAGTGAGATTGCTTTAGTAAGAAAACACTCAAGGAAAGGAGTATTGTCTGCAGTATACATAATGGACACACAGTTAATTTTTGTTGAACAAACAGTAGTGGGGGCCATTTCTGAATTCATCTCTGAAATAATGGAATTCTATCTTAAGACCATTATCTCATCCTGCCCATATTAGAATTGAGTGATAGCCCATCTTACCTCCCCATACTAAATTCAGATTCCTCAGGGCAGGAGACATCACCTATATATTTCTCTAGCCCTCATACATTCAGTAGTACTGGGTAAAGAATAAACATGTAGAGTGCATTTATGTGAATAAATGGTAAGAGTAAAATGTCAAATTTTTTTGTCTTATTTTGATAGAATGGGTTTCTATGTCTTGTTTTAACTTTTAAACTTCTCTCTTTTTTATACTACCCAGTCTAAAAAAAAAAAAGTTATTGACCCTAACACAACCCTCATATTTTACTCAAGTATCTATGAACGTTTAAATCTCCTAGCCATATTCTTTTAACTCCAAGTCTTCGGGTTTTTTTACTTCACAATGTTATCAATTTCTTACAGTCAGTTTTCAGGAATTTGAAGAATTGAGTAGCGAGTTCCCACATGTAAATTTTTTTAGGATTTTTGCCATGAGGTATGTGCATTCACTGGAGAGAGAGACAGAGAGAGGGAAAGTGAGAAATCATCCTCCAAAGGAGATAGCTACAGTGTAATCTCTACTCCTCCATTCTCCTTTAGGATTTTGGATATATACACACATGTGTCGAGCATGATTATCAAGCCACTCAGTCTTGGACTCGAACTGTGGTTGACCATGTGAAAGTCCAGCACCTTAACCACTAAGCCATCTGCTGGTCCCCAACATGTAATTTTTAAAAACTTCCCACTTGATTCTTTTCTATCTTCCACACTCTATGAAAGGGTAGAGAACTGTAAGGTGGCATAAAATAAGTCACATCCTGTCACCTATCCTGCATGCTACTATCTCTTCTGTACTAAATACCTAGGATGTCATAATAGAGTGAATAACTGCATTCCACACATATTAGCTTTTCCAGCATGTATTCAACTGTGTCGTAATTATGGATGTCTTTATAAACCCTGAGCCTTGCAAGAGCTCTATACTATTTATCATTTCCGCAGTGTGTATTGAGATATCCGGCATATGATAGGCACTCATTGAAAGTTTCCTGAGTGAATCAAGTGCTGAAACAATTCATAGACTGATCCTTTAGAGCTGCCAAGATTATAAATAGGCTTTTGCTCGGTCAAACTCAAATACTTGGAGCCAAGGGTGGGAGTTGATAGAAGACTGGGAGTTGCTTTCAAAACTCCTCTGTGTTTACTTTCAGATTTTCAACCTCCTGTGTGTTTTTTTGTTTTTTCTTTTTTTTTAATTTAAATGTATTTATTTACATTCATTTACTATACCTCCGGAGTGTTTTTAAACTTGTGGTATGTGAATTACCCTAAGCACAATGTTTTCTCTCTCTTTTCTGCAGGTTGGACTCAGATCTGTGATAGAACAGTTTCCTGGGAAGCTTGATTTTGTCCTTGTGGATGGGGGTTGTGTCCTAAGCCATGGCCACAAGCAGTTGATATGTTTGGCCAGATCTGTTCTCAGTAAGGCAAAGATCTTACTGCTTGATGAACCTAGTGCTCATTTGGATCCAATGTGAGTTTCAGAAATCCTGTTACTTAACAGCACAGTGAGAACAGGAGCATCGAGACCTACTTCATATTGACACAGATTCCCATTAGGCTGTCGCTCTGCAAGTTAGAGTCTCCCTCGCCCAAACATGAAGTCTTTTAAAGCCAATAGAAAAGTCACTTTGACATGAGCACAACTACTTATTTCCTTGTATAGGAGCCATGTATTCTTGTCCAAACGTAGTTTGGAATTTCATAGAAACTTCCCCCTTGTCACACATGATTAACTATTTAGTTACATAGATACAGTCTGATCCTTACGATTTCCTTTATATCCCATTTTTCCCATAAACATATTTATAGCACAAAGTAAACAACTACTAGTCATTTTACATAATGAAAAATGCATTTATGTCTAAAATTTTCTTCAAAATATATGTCATATTTGTTTATGGTTACCTAGAATCTATCCCATGACTGAAGGGCTGATTGTGGCTAACTCTATATCAGCATTATGTTAAAAGTAGTCAAAGATGGAATTTAAAGAACAAAATTGATAGAACAATAAGCATGTCTTCAAGAATAAACACAAATTACCCATATATGTGAGGTTATATGTGATTATTTTCTTTCTTTTGTAGAACATACCAAATCATTCGAAGAGCTCTAAAGCAAGCCTTTGCTGATTGCACCGTAATTCTCTGTGAACACAGGATAGAAGCAATGTTGGAATGTCAACGATTCTTGGTGAGTCTTTCTAATTTTCTTAAGATCTTATTTTCCTTGCAATTCTTGATGACAATCTCATACATGATAGTTCCTGCAAATTGCTGCAATGTACAAGTTCTTCTTTAAAATGTGTCATATAGCCACTCAGCTTTACTCAGAATAGCTGCATGTGTTCTTCACTTTGATCTGAGCAATCAAGTAAAGTGATGCAATAAGGTAAGGATGAAATTCAGTAACTTTAAAATAGCAGCATATTACTAAGTTACAATAATAAACTGGATATCTGTTCTTTTTCAGTCCTTTATCTGGGGAACAAGTGAAAAAATAATATTTAAAAAGAAGTCTTCCTGGCTCTTTCAATAACCAAATGTCCCTTAGTTGGAGTCCAGGACAGGCCTGATAGTGTTATAATCTGATTTGTGGTTTTAATGTGCTCGTTGAAAGGCTCATTTCATTTTTTTTTAAGTCATTTTCTTTTTTGGTGGGGGGTGGAGGAGAGGTTTTTGCTATAGGGTGCGTGCACTCGTTGGAAAGACAGAGAGAGACAGAAAGCAAGAAATTACCCTCCAGGGGGGATGGCCACGCCACAATCCCTTCTCCTCCAGTCTCCTACTGGGATCTTGGGCATGCACGCACACTTGCCTGGCGTGAATGTAAGCCACTGGGTCTGGGACTCAAACCGTGGTTGACTACATGGGAGTCCAGCAACGCAGCCACTATGCCATCTGCTGGTCTCCCCCCTCTTTAAAGTCATTTTTGGAGCTCAGGTTAGTGCCTCTCTCAACCACCTTCTTAGTATGCTTTCAAAATTGTCACAGATTCTTGGAACCAGCAGTTAGCATAATGGCTATGTCACTAGACTCTCACGTAGTCGACAGCGGTTCACGTCCTGGACCCGGTGGCTTAAAACTCACGCCGGGCACATGTGCGTGCGTGCCCAAGATCCCGAGAGGAGAATGGAGGAGAAGGGATTGCGCGTGACCATCCCCCCAGGGGGAGATTTCTCGCTTTCTGTCTCTCTGTCTCTCTCTGTCTGTCTGGCGAGTGCACACGCCCTATAGCGAAAACCTCTCTCAAAAAAAAAAAAATATATAGTCACAGATTCTTTAAGTGATGTTTACAAATTCCCTCTGGTTTAGTCACAAGGAAGTTCTGAGAATGATGTATTTTGTAACTTCTGCTAAGGCTTTTGAGCCTCCTGGAAGTAAATACTTTCCTACCTACCCTGGGATTGTTATGAGTATGATAATTGCTAATTTGAAGTGACAAATTAGGAAGCTGATTCACCACCTCTTGCCTACTCATGGACAAGTTCAGAAAGTTGGGTAAAGCCCTCTATCTTCCAGCCCAGAGGATTGCTCTACCTTAATGTGCAGAGTAGGAATGTTAAACTCAGTTAAATCCTGACCAAGGTGCAGTTGTTAGCTTTAGAATCTGCTGCTGAAGAGATTCAGATCTTCATGGTGCTGTGGACTTAACACTCATTTGTAATATGTAAGGGATCCAAATGAATAATTATTTTCAAAGCACCCTTAATTTTCTCTAAAGTGATCTGAGTGTGTTGCCTGGTACTATACTACTTAAAAACAAAACAAAACAAACAAACAAACCAAAACCAAAACCAAAACCAAAACCAAAACAAAGCAACTCTCCCAGCTGCTAAGCAGAAAATTACATCAAATTTGACAAGTAGTAGAACCTCTGTAAGCAAGAAAACACAACTGTTAAATGAGATATACCCGATTTTTCGAAATGCAACCATCTGAACGTTGTGTTTTCTTTGGGCTTTGATTTTTCTTTGAGTCTTTGCTATTTCAGCCTCAGCTCTGGTGTGACCTACCTTCTGTCTCAGATCTCACTAACAGCCACTTCCCTAGGTCATCGAAGAGAACAAAGTGCGTCAGTATGAGTCCATCCAGAAACTGCTGAACGAGAAGAGCCTTTTCCGGCAGGCCATCAGCTACTCGGACAGGGTCAAGCTCTTCCCCCATCGCAACTCAAGCAAGCACAGGTCTCGATCTCAGATTACTGCTCTGAAGGAAGAGACAGAAGAAGAGGTGCAAGAAACAAGGCTTTAGTGAGCAGTGTAAATGTTGCCATGGGACATTTGCTCACGGAGTTGAAGGACACAGTTGCCTCTGCTTTAGAAAACAAGAAAGAATAATGTTTTTTGGTTTTGTTATTTTTTTTTAAAGAAATATTTTGGTAAGAGAAATTGAGAATGTCTATTGGGTCTGGAGAAATGGCTTTCTGGCAATGGTTAAATTGTGTGAAAGGTACTTCAAATCCTTGAAGATTTACCACTTGTATTTTGCAAGCCAGATTTTTCCTGGCCCTTTGGTAGTTGTAAGAAAGGCAGCTACAAACATCAACCGATTTAGTTGTTCAGCTTTTTATTTAGTAAAATGTGTTGATTTGTATTATTGGATAAGAACTGAAATCATACTACTTAAAGATATGATTAAATAATGATAGCTGGAAACATTAGCAATTTATATAAGTTAATATCCCTCTTTTCCTCCTCTCTCCAAGATATTTTGTCTGCAAAGTATTCTGTCTCATTTTCAAGCAAATATTAGAATCTGTAGGAATCAAAAAACAGCCCATTAAAATATGCCCCATCTAATAACAA